AAACCAGAACACCTCACCAAAAGATCATAAAATTATTATTCCTAAGTACTCAAACACAAAATAACTTCCACATAGAAAATGAAAACAGGAATGAAAAAGGAGCAGTAAAAAAAAAAAAAAAAAAGGAAAGAAAAAGAGCCAACGAATCCCTTGGCACAGGCCCCGAGGTTTCTGCACATTGTCAGCTGCAAACTATGACCTCAGCAAAGGAGGCTGTGCAATATTCCTGCAGTGACAGGGAATGCACAGGGCCAGAACAAATGTCATCGTAGGGAGAACAGATTCACAGTGCTCTCTAGCTAAAACCTCACTTCTTTTCCATCAATTCCACCTCTCCATCTTCCTTCCTAAACTAAGCTAGACCAAGACCCTTATTTGGTAAACATGGGAGTTGACAAGGACTGATTTTAATGTCACCTGTCTCTCCAGCCTTAGCACAGTTGGTAGCTCCTGGGGCCAGGCAGCCCAGGTTGACTCTTGCCCACAGATGCTGGAGGAGGTTGGTGAAACTATGACCTGCAGAATCCTAAACTGAGACTATGACACTGAACATTTTACTCTTGAAACAGTAGGAGTTGTCACAACCACCCCATAACTCAGTGCAACATTACAGGCTTGGAGAAGAGTGGCTGGAAAGCTGACCATTGGAAAAGCACCTAGGGTTATTGGTCACCAGCTGGCTGAACATGAGCCAGCAGTGTGTCCAGGTAGGCAAGAAAGCCAGTGGCATCCTGGCTTGGATCAGAACTACCATGCCCAGCAGGATTAGAGCAGTGACTTCCCCCTGTTCTCAGCACTGGTGAGGCTGCATCTGAATCCTGTGCTTTGGGCTACTACAAGAAAGACATTGAGGTGTGGAGTGTGTCCAGAGAAGAGCAATGAAGCTGGTGAAGGCTCAGGAGCACAGGTCTTATAAGAAGCAGCTGATGGAGCTGGGATTGCTTAGCCTGAAAAAAAGGAGGTTCTGGGGAGATCATAAAGATCTCTGTAACTACCTGAAAGGAGACTGTAGCAAGATAGCGATTGGTCTCTTCCCCCAGATAACAAATGACACAACAAGAGGCAATAGCCTCAAGTTGTTCCAGGGGAGGTTTAGATAGGATAGTAGGAAAAATTCCTTGACTGAAAGGTTTGCCAGGCTGCCTTGGTAGTATTTAAAAGATGTGCTACTTGGGAATATGGTTCAGTGTTAGGTTAACAGTTGGACTTGATGATTTTAAAGGTCTTCTCCGAACTAAATGATTCTATTGTTCTATTCTGTGACCATGTAAGAGGGGAATACATTGATGCCAGTCTTGGAAACAACTGTGTGTTTACTTACAAAAGCACATGCTCTCTGGATGTTTATCCAACTGCAGTTTATCTATGTCACATGTACAGGAGCTAAGCTTCACTACTATTTAACATGGCTTAAATCAATCTTCCCAGAAAGCATGGTTTTAAATTTCAGAACAGAATGTTACTTTCAGACTTACCTTTTTCTGTTTTGTCTTGTTCAGTTTCTTTTTCACTTTTCCCTAGAATATTAAAAATATAATTTCATTTAAATAAATCTATGTTAAAAGTTTATGATAAAAAATGATACAAGAAAATTAAAATTTATGCTCAAAACATATTTGAGCAAACAGGACTTCTTTATTTCATTTTTATTTTTTAAAGAAACCATAGATAATTTTCTCAACTATATAGTTACCTTAGAGGTCTTTCCCTGCAGATGCTTCAAATATTACATTATTGCTTTGATCACAAAATATTTCCTAGAACTTCCTCTCTAGCTATTTAGTAGATTTTGGTGATATCCACTCACAGTGCAAGCTATATTGTAAGAAAGAAGATCTGTTAACTAATTAAAAACTACTGAGAACACTAGCTTAATACATACATTTGATTAAAATGTGAAAAACAAAATCAATTGGGAACCAAACTCTCATTTTCAGAAGTGGCTTGGGCACTTGAAAGTTTTTGTTTTCTTTAACTCTTAAAGTAATTTAACAGCTGCTTTGTAAACATTTGACTGCACAGGTAAATGTTAACTAAGCATTAAGACAGCCTGCAGCAAAGGCAGACTACATCCTGTACCTAAATCATGTATGTGCGCTATCATGAAGGCAACAGATATATAAACATCTTTTTCCCCTCTCTAAACACTATTTGATCCTGCCTTACTCTATAACATATAGAGCATCTTGCTTCACAGTTCTAACACTGTTATTCTGTTTCCAGTTTTGTCCCAGTAAACTTCCAATACTTCCTCCTAATAAACTTAGAGAACACTAAACAGGGAGGTCAGCTGGCTTTTTAGTTAGTTATTTTCCTAACATATACTGTTTAATTTTGAGGTATTCTATATATATATATATATACACACATATATATATATAAGTCATTTTCTTAAATTTCTAAGTAATTTAGAGATGCTTTGTCAGAATATTCACTCTTCACTGTTTATCAGACTCACTGCTCAGAACCATTACTATGTGAATAAAATACACCATTTAAAATACTGGAAAGCATTTCATTTTTTCATGGAGAAGCTGGGTTATGCACATACATGAAATCAAATTATTTAACATTCTAATTTCACCATTTACTACAGATTGACAACTTCTGCTACTAAGTGTATGGACACTACAATCACTACAACTCTAATTTACATTCAGTGCAAGCCAGAATGAGCATGAACGTGATTATGATATGCTAAATTAAATAAATACAGTCACGCTGAAAGTCATTCACTCCTTCAATTACATCATGAAATCTAGATTCTCGATTAAATTGAAAGAAATTACAAAAGATGTACAGAGTCAATTACATACTAAGAGATAATTATTACTATAACAGTATATTAATGGAAGTGTTGTGCAGTACTTCCTAAAACACTGACTCTTCTATTTTTTTGTGCACAATGCACAATAAATAAAATGGTTGTGTATATCTGTACATCATCAGAAACACTGCATTTCAAAAAGAGTAATAATGAAGGTCCAGATGGGATAAGTTTACATTTATAGCTTTTACACAGACCAGTCTTTATACTCATATTTCTACTGTTTTTATCAGCTCACATTACCATGATACAGCCTGCTACTTAGCCACCCATTTTCCCTGTATCTTCTCTCTTATCAGCAACACCAATATTCTCACCTCATCTCTTCTTTCTACTTCATTCTCCATCACTCAGTAACCTGCTTCCACACATCCTGGACATTCATGTTATTTCTGCAACTTCTTTGCCATCACAGGAAGAACAAGGTATGATCTCATCACTCTAAAGCCTGCTCCTACCTCGCATTTCTTGTCTGGCTTCACATTTCTTTACTACTGAGACTCATGCAACATATAATCTACAGTTCTCTATACCTATTTATGCACTAAAACCAGTCCAAACTCTCTCAGACTTTTTTCAGTCTGGATTCTGCTAAATTAACTGCCATTGATTTCACCAAAGCTTCTCCAATGATCTTTTAATACTCCAGCTTCTCCTTCTAGGTAGCTGCTTTTGAAATTCATGACAACTTGATCGTGTTAACTCTGAAGATCTTGTTTCTCTCACCTCTCACCACACTTAACTAAGAATTCACTTCAGTATCATATTCAGCACATATTGCTTTTTTCCCTCCACACTGATCCCTAGGATACTTCCATGGTGCAAAAGGTTTTAATTATGCTATTCTGACAAAGCCTTAAAAATTTGCTGTCTCAAACACAGGGATATGATAATAAATCTTAAGACTATTGTGTCATCAACTTAAACCAATTGTAGCTCAAACAAACAAACAAAAATTAATCTTAGCTCTTCAAATCCCTCTCAGTTTTTATTCAATTTCTCCATTTCCAGCAAAACAAATCTACATCAAAACCACAAACAAAACAGCTTTAGCTAAGCTCTACAGGCTAGGGCTGCTATCACTGTGTAACAAATGCACCAGGTATTCCCAAGGTTTCTACCATGAAGAATAAATTTATTTTTCACATTACTATACATCTAAATGTTTGTGACTGCATGTCACAATGAGACAAGTCACAAATAAAAATGTATTTCAGACCTTGTAGATTTTACATGAATCTCAATCAACACTATAAGTGTACAATACAATTTATTTACATACACATACCTTCTGAAATGTAAAATTACAAATGATATTCAGTAAAAACATTAAATTTTTCAGTATCTTTCCTATATCAAATTTTAGCCATTTTCTTTATGTCTTAGACAGAAGTGCCATGATATGATACTTTTTCAATTCCAGAGAATGTTAAAAAGTCATTTAAATTGTAGTAGATTGTCAGTATTAAAATACACCTTAGCAGCCTACTCTTCGCTAATTGGTATTTCTTCCTGTGATTTCCAAAAAAGAGCAACTGAATCCAAGATTTCATAGATTCACTGAAATATAACAAGAGGCAATGCAAAGAAAAAAATAAAGAAAAATGTAATCTCAACATTTTCTTAGACTAATATTCAGACATATTTGATCATTAAAGCTGTGGAGGTGTTCGAAAACTGAAAAGGTTGGAGGAATATTTTTTCTTTCAAATAGAGAACTGTGCAGACCTGACAAGATCTCTGATCTAACTATGGACCATAACCATGATATTCTGTATGAAAGGTAGATATCATACTTTCCACTGATATTTGTGTTTGTTAAAGAATGCTATCTCATCCATTTTAAGTTAAAAACAGAAATTATGTGTCATGGGAAAAATTCAGGTCAAACCGGTCACAGAATGTTAATACTCCAAAAGGACAAACACAATGCAATTATAGAAGACACAGACCTTAGAGTATTGTCTGTTTCCTTCACATAACACCAGTCAGAAATAAAATTAATTTTACTTGCTATATTTCCTCCTCCTTATAAATAATATTTTCAAATATATTTTTAAATATTCAAATTTATAATTTAAAAAAATAGTATTAATTAGTGGATGACTCAATTATCCCTACACTTAATATCTACCACATTCGGGAATAAATAATGACACTAGAAAGACAAAGATATTCTTCTGTGTTTTATTGCAGCCAAACAATAAAATGGATTAAATATACATTTTTCAATAGTCCACTTGACCTTGCTCAGCTTGGCATATTTTTGTAAACATGAAGCACGTAAAATCACATACCCAGTTACAAAATATTTAAAATTTGATCACAGCATAATATACTCTCACAGTCTCATAATTCTACAAATAGACTGTCACTGTTATATAAAAAGTCCTCCATTCACCATTCTAAAATTATTACCAAGATTCCTCACAAAATATGGCTTTGTAAAGATTATTGCTCTGCAATTCACAATCACAGGTATTTTTACTAGAACATCCCATCCCAAAACACATCACAGTCTAAGAGTATTATTGCTTTCCTGAAAAGTCTAAAGAAATCACTTTGGGACATCTGTATTTGTTGATCAGATGCAACACTCACGTGGAGTCTCACTGAAATCCCAATACCAAAAAAGGCAAGCATATACGATGCCCCTTTCACTACAAATTTAAGCATCTAGAAACCTGACTTCAAAACAGTGTCACAGAACTTGAAAGTCTCCCTGTAAACCCAAAGGCAACCACTATTAGGGTTACCAAATTGACTTTTCTTTTTATAAATTTATGTTACTTTATTTCTCCTAAGCTCCTGTAACAGGCTTGGCAACTTCCTAAAAATCACAGCAATTATTCCTGAGCCAAAAAGGAACACATGCAAAATACCAAAGAATAAAATAAGTCTCCATAATTGTGGAACAGCAGCACAGAACAGGTAAAAACCACACCTGTTATATTAAAATCCTAAATCACTCACAGTCTAAATTTCATATGTACCATTTATAAGAGCATTTATAACTGTAGGTCTTAAATTTTGACATTGAACTTTTCCAAAGGTTGAATTTCCGAAGTTTTTTTCCTTTTTTTAAATAAAATTTGCAAATCATGTATTTATACAAACTTGACTTATTAAATAATTTACTGCATGTAAAGCTAACTAAATCTAGCTTTAAGATCATTATATTGGGAGGCAAACCAGAAAAATTTTACTAAATTCAACCTGATTCCAGCAACTCAGTTTTGTTGCAGTCTCTACTGACTTTCTGAAAGTCTATCATGTAGTCTCCAGACATTTTTGTTTTATAAATCAAATGGGCATAAAGAATTCTAATTCACATATAAATGGTTTTAGAAAAGTGTAATTTAATAATCTGCTCTTTTATCAGTATAAATTAAACACACACATTTTGCATCTTTGCATCAGGCTATTTTAAAAATAACCTGAAACTCATGTAGTGTAACTGTTGACATAACATCAGTGCAAAGAGAGATAAGTCAAACTTCACAGCATAGTGTGTGTCTGATTAGTGTTTTTAATAAAATGCAACTAGGCTGTATGATATATCAGCAGTTATAAAACATTTAAAAATTCATAATATGTTTCATTTGACCAAACTGCTCTGTACATACTGTATGAATCCACAACAAAAGATATATATTAAAATCTGAAAAAATGTACTTGCTGCTACGTTATAAATAGAATATTAACAATTGCTTAAACAGTACATGAAATGCAGCTCAAAGTTGCAATTCTGTCACAAACACAGAAGAAAAAAATAATTAATTCACTAAACTTGACCGAGGGAAAAAAAATAATATCAGACAGGAATGTAAACTAAACATCCAAGTGTTAAAAATGCTTACTAAAATGACAGTTGGCTAAAACCCAGTTACAACATCTTAGTGTTCATTCCCCAAACCCTGAACTGCTGGGTAATTACATCATAAGATCTATTACAACCATCTGCTCCCCTTTTGTAGCGTATGGTTAGGGCTGGTCCTCCTGATGTAGGGACTTTTCTTTTGAAGCTTTAAGTATCTGAAAAAATAAGGGGAAATCTATATTAAAGGACCAACCAAAACACAACTCACTCTAAAACAACAACAAAAATATCTTAAATGCTAAAAAATGCAACTTTGTATCAGACTAGTTAGTTTGAAAAAGCTATAATTTCTAGGAGCTACTGTAATGAATATACACAAAGTTGCCGTATAAGGTAGGAAATATTTATTTATGCAGTAAATTTTTTATTACCATATGGCACTTCAATCACCTTGTAAAGGAAATCTAGGCCATGTCCCAAACACATTAAAACAATTTTTTTTTGTTTTGTTGGAATTTGGTGTTTTTTTTTGGTTTGGTTTTTTGTTTGTTTTGGTTTTGGTTTTGGTTTGGTTTGGTTTTGGGTTTTATTTGTTAAAGTCAGAGACAATTGGAAAAGAGGAGCCAGGGAATAAGGAAGGGTCCAAGTTCTAAAGTGGAAACTTCTCTACACACAAGGGATTTCAGCAGTTGGTAAAATAAATGTAGGGTTATAAAATGTCAGGGATACAAGGTGAAGGGGAGGAGTGGGACAACCCAGAGATATCTTAAATCTGAACTCATACAAGACAGATCAAAATTATAATACAGAGAGCAATGGTATCCCAAAACCTGCGATTTGTCTCCCCTAAAATATGCATCCAACCAGAACCACTCTATCACAACCACTGTAATTTATGTGCCAGTGTAAAACAGGATTAGTAAAAAAAAATCTGATTCAGTAATATTTGAAGCTAGTCTATCATATCACTCAAGTGCATTAGTTACAAAATGTGGATTATAACTGAAGCTAAAGTAGCCTACATCTAGAAAAGAATACGAGTAATAATTTTAGAAATTAACTCAGAGAATTGGAAAACAGTACCTACAGATACCCAAACACATATTTTAGTAGTATTACTTCTTTTTTCTAATATACCCTGAAGTCAGCAAAAAACTTTTGACTTGCACTCCAGCATATTCAAATCCCACACTCAGTCTCTTCACTGCTGATGTGAGAATGTTCCTCACAGCTAAATTCAGCCTCTGAGCTATCTCCTGTTTATTTTCTGAAACAACTAAATTCCTATGTTTTACTGAAGGATCAAACAGCTGCTCCCAACCTGACAGAAACTGTTGAAATGCAGTTGCATCAATTTGTAATACTGAAGAATAAGGACTCTATAATGATATTTCTGAATTTCTTGTACATTGCCTGAAGTTATGTATATTACATAAATAGAGATATCTTTCATATGTAAAGAGAGCATATATGTATAAAGAGGTTTTTCATTCAGAAGAGAGTTCTTGGCTGTCTCTAGTACAATGAACTTCAATATTATTATCACTGAGAGAACAGAAAATATTAGGTTTTGAATACTTAAACACAAAGACTTCTGACAATAAAATCTCTGTACTGAATCCTCCATAACAAATAACATATTAAAAAAAAAACCCTGGTAAACATGAATGTCATACTCTAATAGGAAAATTTGAGAGTAATGTTGCTTTCAAACTGAAAGATTCATATACAAAAAAGGCAGGTAAACATACTTAACTAGCAGAAATAAATAATAATTTAATACTCATTTTTATTCATAGTCAACAGTCATTTATGTCCTCTGTTTCTTTTCTCAGTTTTCTGAGATGCTACTTGAATTCTACTTTTTGTGCAGAAACAATAAGAAGTAAGGGTAATCTTGTGATTTAAGAAGTGTTGCACTAGTTTTGGAAACAAACACAGGTTAAAAAAAAAAAAAGATCTAAAAGATCTTTTGAAAGGATCAGAAATGCATACTATTTCAAAGTAGAACATGCTATTTCTCATTCTAACAGTGTTTGAAAACAGTAAAGATTCTTTTAATCACAGTACAACAAAAGGAGAGTGGACAACTAGGTTCATTTCCATCATCTTATTTGAAAATACACCTGCAATTAAAGGAATGATCATCCCTCTCTACTCAGCACTGGTGAGGCCACACCTCCGATCCTATGTTAAGTTTTGAGCCCCTCACGACAAGTGGGGCTGAGCACTGAGGTGCTGAAGCATGTCCAGAGAAGGGTAACAAAGCTGATGAACGGTCCTGGAGCACAAAGCCTATGAGGAGTGGCTCAGGAAGACGGGGTTGTTTAGCCTGGAGAAAAGGAGGGTCAGGGAAGACCTTATCTCTCTCTACAGCTACCTGAAAGAAGGTCATGGCCAGGCAGGGGGTCAGTCTCTTCTGCCAAGTAACAAGTGATGGTTAAGAGGAAACAGCATCGAGTTGTGCCAGGGGAAGTTTAGATCGGGTATGAGGAAAAATATCTTCCCCAGGAGGGTGCTTAAGCACTGGAACAGGCTACTCAGGGAAGTGGTGTAGCCCGTGGAGGTATTTAAAAGACACATAGATGTGGCATTCAGGGACATTGTTTACTGGTGGACTTGGTAGTATTAGGTTTAGAGCTGGAGTTGACCCTAAGGATCTTTTCCAACCGAACTGATTCTATGATTCTATTGGTATATTTTGGAAATCTTCATTACTGTACAAAACACTTAAGATTATTTTCTATTAATTTACTGCTGCAAGACTGAGCCAAAAATTACAGTACAAAAGGGACAGAAATATGGTCCAAAAAAACAGAACTTAAAGATTTCAAGTTGGCACTGGCATTCTGACTTTAATTTTAAAATAGTATATGTAAGCCAAGAGACTGTCTCAAAATCTTCATATCAATACAACTGGTACTGTGCAGTGGAATTATCTACTGTTAATACTTCTAACAGTCCAGGAAGGGCCTTTTTGTTATTTTAGCTTTAAGCAGCAACATTTTCTGAGATAAAACATCATTTCCCCTTCTACACTTACAACTTAATGCACAATAAATGAAACGAAGACTACCTTTGCTGAACTTCTTGCTATGCTGTCAAAGTAACTACTGTTTGTTCTTATACTGATTGCAAGTTTTGGCTAAGAATACTCCATATTCATTATGAAACAAAACAAAACATTTTAGATAAGGCATCTACTAATTGATATTTATGGCTTCAAACATTTCAACACACCATATGGTTGTTGTTATAAAGAGATTAGAAAGGCCTCACAGACAACACAGTTACGTACTAATATGAGCATTTCAAATCACCTCAGTTAAGGTTCAGTAAATAAATTAAAATATTAACTAAACCATGCCTTCGATCTGTACTGGGCAACCACAAAGGTCTCCTATGTTTTTTCACTTCTCTGGCTATTTCTGGCACAACCAAGAGCCAAAAACAAGTTTCCTTTTCCACAGGGAAAAAAAAAAACAACACTCCAGAACCCTCTGGGCACCATATCTCATAAGAGCTTCTGCACAGTGCAAAGATTAACTAACCCAGAAAGGTGCTCAGGCTAATCAGAACAAAACAGAAATATAGTTGTCAGTGCTCCTGGATTGTAGCTTCTCTGATCTACTGCCCCGAGATACAACTCTGTTTCACTCAGCACAACTACTGTGTTACAACTAACAAATTAGCACCTTGTAATCATCAACTCCAAAAAGCAGTGAAATGTAACAATAATCAGTCTTCAAATTCAGAAGCCACTGAACTACTCTAAAGATGGTTTGGGTCAACTCTGTGTTTATTATTGTCAGGAAATAGATGGAAGAACTGAAAGTACTCTTATTCTTGATATCAATTATGTCAAGAAAAATGCAATGGCATTACAAAAAAAGTCCTGTTTCCAGAGAATTGCCCCAAGAATGTACCACAGCCAGACTCCAATAGATCTGACTGACACGCAAAGAATTAACAATATCACTGTCCATGATCAGTTACTCTGGAGACGAAGTAGGCACATATTCCAAGACCTGAAATTGTTGTATTTCCCTTAACAGTAAAACTATCCAGCTCTGTCTGAAATAATTACAAATTAAGTTGTAAATTAAAGCTACTAACAGTTTATTTGGAATACTTTCATATAACCCAGTAACTACTGCTACCATTTATCAAGTACACCAAAAATATTATCTCTTCAAAACCAAGAAGCAACTTTGACATTGATGATATCCTTTCATGACTCTCCACAAAGTAATTTATTTATAAATTTCCATGTAGCTAGAGCTTCATTTTTTCTTTTGAAAAAAATCCCAAGCATTTAAAATTGACTTACCCACTCGAACATCATTTGAATAATCCTCAGCTTGAACAGGTATTTCTGTAAATCAAAAATGTAAAAATAATTCAAACTGGACTGCTCCCTAAATATTTTTAAAAGCCTTATTTTTCAACTTATGTTCAAAACAGTGACCTATCAAGACTGTTCTGTAATACTTTGCGAAAGTGGGATGTAAATTTCTTCCTCCACTGAATTTTTCCAAGGGGAAGATTAATATGTAAGGAGGTCAATGAGTAAATTGCAGAACTGTACAGTTTCAAAAATGATACTTCAAAATTCTGAAACTAAACTACCCAAAGCACAGATCTCCCAGTTTCACATGTTACTACAGTATGAGCTTAGAAAAATTCATATACTTATGTTCTCAGATGCAACTGTGAAATAGTTGACCTCAAAATTCGATTATTTTTAATTCCATATGTATGTTTAAATTAGACATGTCACATATCAGTAAGTGTTATTACTGTTAATAGACTGAAGGCTGCCCACAGTCAAGCAGTCAAGCTCACCAGAAAAAACCTTTACAATAGCCAGGATGCTGGCTGTAGACAATAAGAAGAATCAAAGGGAGGGAAATACATTCTCCAACTTGGAAAGCCCATAAATAAAGTTCAAAGCTTGGGAAACATTCTACTTTATTTCTTACATATACTTTCTTTCCCAAGTATGCACTACTGACTGGTTGGTTGGTGGAAAACAGAGCAAATAAAAGAAATCCTCAGATTCATCATATGGCCTAATATGGTCATTTTTATCAATGTAAACTTTTCTGAGTTGGTAGCACTCTCAACTTCTAAAACTGAAAGTGCTTTGAAAGTCATTAAAATATTGTCATTAAAAAACCCAAGATGATAGATTCCAACAACACAGATATGTTTGTCCTCAAAAGAAAACAGCTGCAGGAAAATTTATTAATGTATTTTTAGTGCAGCATAAAATTCTATTCCACAATATTTATAATTCTCATTTTTTTTAAGTGGCAAACTCATGTAAAACATAACATACAAACCTGATTCCTTTGGTTCAATGGCCACGTTGTCTTCTGTTTTCTTACTTTCTACTGTTACAAAGAAAATAAGTGTTAAAAGTCATACATAGTACAATCACAACCAAACTGGTATCAAATGAGAAGGAAAAGAAACTGCTGTTTTGGGTTTTTTTCCAATTTTTCCAATAGAACATCTAAATAAATACAACATCAAATGCCACACACTGTGCTCAAACTAAACTGCTTAGATCACTTAGCTCTAGCTGACTGAATTAACATCAAGTTTGAAAAAAACTTGCTTAATGACATTTTTAACTTCTTAGGACAAACCTTTAAATCACATTTGACACAGTAGTCGTTTAAAACTTCCCGATACCAATATAGCACACAAAAATTTACAACTTAATCATTTTGAGTGGTATTGTGGAAAGTTAACATAGAGCTCCAATTTGAGGAATGGAGTAAGTACTTCATAAGAACATCATGAAGTCCAACAAGGCCAGATGCAAGTTCCTGCACTGGGGTTAGGTGCTGGAGCACCTCTCCTAGGAAGACAGGCTGAGAGAGTGGGGTTGCTCAGCCTGGAGAAGAGAAGGCTGCAGAGAGACCTTATTGCAGCCTTTCAACAAGGGATATTGTAAGAAAGACAGAGAGACACTTTTTACCAATGCCTGTAGCAACAGGACAAGAAGCAATGGTTTAAAGTGAAAGAGGGTAAATTGAGATTAGACATAAAAAAGAAATTTTTTGTTCTCAATGTGGTGAGACAGTGGAATAGGTTGGTCAGAGCAGTAGAAATGCTCCATCACTGGAAGTGTTACAAGTCAGGTTGGACAGACCTTTGAGCAATCTGATGCAATGAAAGATGTCATTGGCCATGGTGGGGAGTTTGAACCACATGCTGCTTAAATGTCTTTTCCAACCCAAACTGTTTGATGATTCTACATACACATTTATCTTCTTTGGTTTTCATTTGCTTGATTTTTAATTATACTAACAAATCTAATTTTTTTTCTTTCACAAACTCCAAAAACTCATACCTGAAACATCTTTAGCAATATCAAAATCTTCAGTAATTTTATCTATAATAAAAAGAAAAAGTATATAATGAGCTTGCTTCTTTTATAAAGTCTGATTTTCAAATACATACATTTTATCAAAAGACTTTAAGATCACAGTTACAAAATATATACCTGGCTCTGTGGCTTCATTCAGCTCCTCTGGAAGGTCATGAACTGCTAAAAAAACCACATTTAATTCAGAGCAATGAAGTCAAGTCCTCAATTTATGGAATTTACACACAGCACAAAAGAACACAGCTAGCACATAGACATGTTTACCTGTGAACAGGAAACTGCTATTGACAAACAGGAACTTCAATGAATTTGAGGGGAAAAATACACTAGAGAATTTCTTTACTATATTCTAAATTAAAAAGCTGTAGTTTTTTTCAATCAGTTGTCTGAGATGACTTGAGTTGCTGTTTCAAGACAACAAAGTATATAGGACACAGAGAGAGTACTGAAGACAATGTTTTAATTGCTCCTGCTAATTAGATAAATGCACCCACAAAACTCTGCATCAAAGTAGAGTTAGTACTGACAGCCTCTACATTTTGAATGATTTTAAGCACTGGTTGCAAGGTTCTGAGCAAGGATCACAACAGGCAGCAGGTTGACTGTCTATGAGGAATTACTGTGTTCCAACTGTCCATTTAAAGCCTCAGATACCCCACTTTGTGTCACTTGAGACCTTAAAGACGAATCTTTAAGGACAGCATATTAAAATGTGTCTCAGTTCATAGTAAAAAATGTAAGTTTATAAAATCATAGACTGTAACAAACCTTTGCTGTAACTGGCAATTATCATGACTGAAGGTCACACCGATTATATATTTCAATATATATATACAGCAAGATTAAGTTAATAATTGTTATGCTGACTTAAAATATTTCTCTGATTTTGAAAACAATATGTATTCTAATAACACTTACTGTAGAGATATTTCTACTTGACATATGAAACAAAGATTTTCTAATATGTTTCATATATATAAATGTATACAAATGATGGGATGTGTGTGGAAGTATACACAGACCCCACTCATACATATACATATACACACATATATATGAATTTATATATATATATATATTTATATATATATATTATGTATATACCTGTATCTTGAGTCTCAGCCTGCTTTTCATGTTTGGGTTCTGAAAGAAAATTAAAAAAAAAGTTGCTGGGTGGTTTATATGCACAAAGTATCCTAAAAATTTGGTTGTTAAGCATCCAGGTAATTTCTTTAATGACAAAGCCCTTAAAAAAATTTTCCCTACTTTGGGGTCTGAATAGATACATGAACCTTCTCCGGAGCTTATACCAGAAATTTTACACAAAAAAACCCCTACCCTAATTTGAACATATTGCTGAAATTTCAAGCCTTTCTATCTACGCAGGTGAAATGTAGAAAACAATTACAACAATAAATCCATCAATTACAACAATAAATCCATCATTATGTGCAGTTGCTATAATTTTTCTACATTCTTAATATTTGAGTAAAGAGCCAGTCTAATTTTCATAATTCTGAAGAAATAGGTTAAGAATATTCAATAATTAATTTTAGATAATGTCTGAAAATAGAGGAAAATGCTATCCATTGTCTGCATTTTCAATATACACTCACTATAAATTTCAGAACTAAAGAAGTTCAAAGTTTATTCAGTGTTTTGGATAATTTCATTATCTTAACAGGTACTAACCCTCATCTGCAAAAGGTCCATTACATAAGATTTAAAAAAACAGACAAACAACCCCCACACATCTTTATAATATTGATTCATCTTATAAGGTATTAATGGTCATGTGGCTCTCCATATATTGCTTAGAAAAAAGTTCTTAGAGAATATCCTTAAAAAAACTTCCAGAACACTTTATTTCTAATGAAAATCTCAAACTTGCTTACTTTCTCCAGGTTCATTGCTACAAACTGTAGCAAACTCCTCATAAAACTACTGAAAGTTGTTTACAATAACTGCATTCTTCTATTCCAAATTATATGATCCATCTATCTACACACTCCTCTGTGCGCTATCATACACTTATTTCAACAACAGAATTTTTAGCATTAGCAATAACCTCAGTGATCCTACTGGAGCTGGTTCTTGACTGAATTAAAAAACAAGTCATACAAAGCATGAGTCACAAAAGAAATTGAACTGCTCTAGCCAACAATCCTCTTGGCACTGCCCTCGGCTTTCTGGGAATTCCAGAAATCATCAGAATTGGAGAAAATATTTCATCAGAGGGTCTTGCCAGAAAAAGGGAAACATCTGATAAAGATGGGGAAGATACACTGACTCCAGAATAGAGAAGCTTACACTTCCGTTGACTTCACACACAATTGCCTCTCAAGCTTTAAATTGAATCTTCTTGAGGAAGTGAACGGCAGTTTTGGAGCCAATGCCAAAACCACAAGCTTTACACTTGAGAGAAAGAATTTCAGATCTCCACGATGGCCTCCATCCCTTCTTTGACTTTAAAAAACAGGTGCTAAAATTGCTTTTCTCTAGAAACAGAGCAAATCTGTTTCCCTTTCAATCCAACCAAAAGTGTGGAAAAGGAACAAGAAAGATGGGCCCACAGACAAAAGGGATGGAAAAGGGGTACAACTGCTAAAATGGTGTCTAGCACATGAACGTGAACATGCCCTGAAACTCAACAGACTGAACTCCTAAGGAAAAAACGCTGTGTCACAGAAAGGCAGCTCAGCTGACTGGTCTTTTTCTTCTACACTGCTCCAGGCTGGAGTTCTGAAATGAAATTCCACCAAGAAGTACAAAGGATGCGTGATGCTTTCTCTACAACCAGAACATCTTCAAAGGAGGCAAAATTATGTTGTGAAAAGGTGAATTTTTATCAAGAGAAAAGCAGTTTGCCACAGATTATGTTGAACTGTGGGAATAATTTATTGCATAAAGAAGCCTGGTAATTTAATAGCCAAGAATAATAAATTTTTTGAGTCATGTGCTACCTTAGAATTTCCTTTGGAGAAAAATTCCTATTCTTGTTATCATCCTAATCAGAGGATTTGGAAGACTATAGAAAGAGTAGGGTAAAAAAATCTGATTTATCTGATGCTATTTAGAATTCTCAGTGTAGCACACAGAGGCAACAGCACATGAAACCACTTCATGTGCTTGCTGAAGCACATGAATTACTCACAAAATTACTCACAAAATAGAGTAATTCACTGTTATGGTGCTGGGGTGCCAGAAGAGACTGAAGAATGTGGAACAGTTTTGGAACTGATTTTATGAAAAGATGATTAACTTACTTCATTTACCTCCCTGATCAACTTACTCAAAAAGCTGATATAAATGACAGTTTCAGAGGGCATGGAAGCATTTTCTGTCCATGTCATGACTACATATGAAGAAGCATGAAAAGTAAAGATTAGAAGTTGCACTTCTTCATATCTAGGTGCGAGAAGCAAGAGGAAGTGATTCTTGACTTGGAACTGATCGGAAAATAAATATCTCCTGGAAAGGTGGGTAAAAAAATAAGTCCAGGGAAAAAAAACTAGAGGTCTCTTGGTTTTCCATTCTATGAATGCCATGACATTTTGTCAAGGGCATCATCACTGAGGCAAAGAACTATTTTCTGCAGACTGCGAAAGACACAGACTATGTGCTAAATACACCTTTGGGCCACTGAAAGTCTTTCAATGGGATTTTAACTTCCATTCCAAATACAGATGTCGGAATTTCCCTCCTGATGACCAAGAATGAGCCTCAAGATTTTCTCTTGCAAAATATCCTGAAGCTAAGAATCCCCATGCTTTGCTCTGATTACATAAACATGGGAAATAAACAAAAATGCTTTAAAGACACGCTTAATTATTCTGAAGTATGGTAGTACCCAGAAGGACATCAAAGCAGGAATCACAACCACATATTTTTGTTTCAAGGTTGTGACTACTGTTCTTCTCCTTTTTGTTCTCAGCAATCATTAGCAAGTCATCAACCAAATCAAACTAAATGAGAGTAATTTCCAAGGAACACAAAGGAAATACTGAGCTATGCTGATGCAGTGAACCACAGCTGACTTGACTGGGGTTTCATAAGAAAAAGGGCATGAAAAGTCTTCAACATTCTTATTCCACATACACACAAAGTATGACAGAGGACCAATGTGGGAATTTAATGTATATTCTACACTTCTTCCATTTGATCAATCAATTCACTTGGTTGATTGCTTACTCACAGAGGGTTTGAACACAGAACCCAGAACCTTAACTGAGAACTTGCAAAGTAATGTGCCAGCAGAGAAAATTTTAAGAAAAAGTAATTTCACTTGCATATTAACTAAAGACTTTGATACTGTAATTTCACTAAATATAGCAGTTGTCATACCTTGATCTTCATTATAATTGTCATGCATTATATCCTCTGTTTAAAAGAAAATGCATATGAAAATTCATGGAACTTTAAGACAATAAAGACACACAAATAATACAACGTCGAGTTTATTCAGAACAAAAAAGATATTCCAAAGTATAGTATTTTATACTGTAATAAAGTTAATAAGAGTTCAAAGGCAAAGATTTCTAAAAGATCCTGTGAGAAGAACGGAGTAATTTTCTGGCATCAAAAGATAGACTTAAAAATGATAAAGCAGTATCACTTGGCTTTCTTATACAGTTCATGAAGCCATCTACAGATTACCTATAATTCAGAATCAAAATATTCTTAAATCATTTCTATACACAGTTAACTTCTACAGTGCAATTTTGGGATCTACTTGTTATGGCTGGCTTGCTTTTAAAGCAAAATTTAAAGACAGTACTTTCTTCTTGACGTCACACTAATTTCAACATCTCTGGCATATTTAAATTCTTTTTTATCCACAGAAACACTTCTATACAATTTAAAACACCAATACCCATTCTCCTGGAAATTCAACTCTCAAAATATTATTCTGCCCATTTGGGTGACATTACAAGGAAATAGTACTCATATAGCTCTTAGTATTTTTTCAGAACATAATCAAAACCAGAGATGTAATAACTTATTAAGGAACGGATGTTATCTATGAGCCCCTGTGTTTTGAGTGTTGGGTGGGTTTTTTACATGATGGTCTGGTTTGGGGACAAAATTCAATGAAACTTCAGTAAAAAGAAATAAGACTTCGGACTATACCTGTGTAATGTTCCATAGCATCCTCTAGCACTACCTCAGAGTCACCTTAAATAAAAACATTTAACGTTTTATATTTTAATCCATTTTCATGTGAACTTAAAAAGTCACATATTTAGCTCAAGAATATCAGAACTAAACATACTGAGTTAATACTACAATATTTTATTTAAAAGTGACAGCTGAATTGTAAAACACATCCAGGAGCTACACCATAAAACAAGGAATATAATAAGTTCATGCCCATTTGTATTTAGGATTAACATTAAGAACATAAGTAGGTCTTGGATAATCAATCCATCGATTAGACTGCAAGACTCCTGACAGAACAAGATATCATTATAAGTATTTGTGGATGGAGTGTTAGGCTCACAAATGTGAATAACACAGTGGTAAAAAAAAAATCAGGTTTACTTGAAACTACCTTACAACTGTTTGAAAATAAAACTGTGATGAAACAGTCAATATGACACATTACTCTGTAGCACATTTAAAAAAATGTGAGATTACATCATCATCTGAAGCAACAAAAAGTTACAGACCTGGAGCTTCTGGTTCAGTTACTCTCTCCTCCATAGATGCAACATAATCATCTGAAGCTGTAAATTAAATATGAAAAAATAAATATTTTGAAAGAAAAATAGGAAATATTTTTAATATTTGATTGTTTTAACTTGCATCCATAATGCATCTGTCAATAGCTAAATGTAGTTCCTTAGTTGAAAACTGATAAACTAAAACTTTACAAACTGACACAACTTTACATGGCAATCTAATGGAAGGTCTAGGGTCACTGTCTCTTGTAGTCCTCTGTTATACTCTCTGTATGAAAACTACATCCATATGAGCAATTACTCTCCAGTATATTTTTTAATATGAATGAAAAATGTAAACTTCTATCTTCAAAATTCTACGGCATGTTCTTAACTGACATGCAGGAATCTGACTTCACGATGATTCACAGAAGACAAGATATGAACCAGAAAAATGGCCTTGCAAAAAGTGTACTTCACTTGTGGCATCACAGATTTACAGCAACTTATTTCTTTTCACTACCTAGGTAAGTATGTGTATTATTCTCCTCTATGACTACAGTTCTTTGCAATGCTGTTAATATACTCAGTATGACACATTGACAAATGCTGAAGGTAAGAAACTAACATCACAGAATGGATTCTAGACCAGTAACTGGAAAGCAGTAATCTCCCACATAGTTGGGACTAAACAGTGTTAGTTGATCAAACAAATTTTTTTCTATTTTTCTGTCACATTTGGCATCAAACAGGACTGAAAGTCCAGAATTAGCATTGAGTCAAAAACAAGAAGCCTAGTCCAAACATAAATCCATGTCTAATGTAAATGGAAAAGGCTGTTTGTACTATAAAGAAACACTGTTGGAGTCCTGAAGAAAATACTTATCAGACCGCAGGGAAACTGTAATATTGACCTGATGCTTCTACATAATGGGAAAGATGAGCTAATGCCATTGTACATGATATCAAGCACAATATGAAGATGACTATAAGCTTAATTGGATTAGTCCAGGTAAAATTTCAAAAAGTTTTCAAGATGTATTAAGGTGAGCAGAAATACAGCAGAAGGATAGTTCAGAATGATGTCCTTGGCACTGACTCACTCTCTGATAGTAGAGTCAGACACAAAGCAACAAACAGTCCTGAAGAAAATGTTAAAAACTGGATGCTTCTGATACCAAGGATAACAGTCTAGAGGAACCTTAGCATTGCGAACTGTAAGAGGACAGTAACATAAGCAATAAATCTCATTCTTGCTTTCTTAGACTATACAAACCACAGGTTTCTTGCCTAGTCAGATCCCAATCATACAGAACAGCCAGAAACTCACAGTAAATATAAAGTTTGTGCAGCAATGAAAGCAAAGTTTCCATTCTGGTCATTCACTAATAAAGATTTTCAACAGCAAGTATGATATAGTAATCTCAAAGTAAAAATATCCACGGCATTAACAAGAAGATATTTAGAGAAAAAAAATTCACAATTATATATTTCTAAACCAGTCTAACCTTTCCTATTTTTCTTTCTCATATAATTTGTTACACTTAGGCAGAAAACCGGCATTACTGAGTTTAGAAAAATAAAATGATACCTGGAACTTCATAGGGCTCAGACTCCACTGCTTCAAGATCATCTGCCAAAAGATCAGCATCTGAAAAACAAATACATAACATTTTTAAATTAATACACAATACCACAAACCCTATAACAGATACTATGTAAGAATGGAGTAAAATTTCTAAGCTGAAATTCTAAGCAAATTTCTTTTAATGGCAGCAAGACATGTATATAGTATATAATACTTGAAATTTTATTCTTCTATGTAATATTGAGAATGTGTATATATAAATAAACTCTATACATGCTTGCTCAAAAAAATTACTCTCCAGAGAAATTTTTGTGTAAATGTGAAGCAAGAAGAATATATTTACTTTGCCTTCTTAATTGCAAAGATATAAAGTAACTGGAATTTGAGTATTTTCTCTAGTCTCCTACTTTAAGTTAAGCTGTAGATGAATAAAGGAGATATAGAAACAAAGAGGTATAATAGACCCAGATGAAAATAATTACTTCTGTTGTGAAGAAAGAATCTCAGTGTACTTCCAGCAATTTCAACTTTTAGATGACATCTGTTACACGAGTTTTTCAAAGAGATGTATTAAGAGATGTGTAAAATTTCCAGTAGGGCAGATAAAAAGCATCAAGAAATCATTTCTCCCAGCTTGGATTTAGATCATCTGATTCTGCTTAAATATTTTTACTATCATTTTTATCATCCTGTCAAAGCCCCAAGGCAGCAAGACATGAAAATCTTCTTTATATGATGTCTTCATCTCTGCAGGACTTGCAACATAATCGATGCGTAACATTTTCTTAGGGAGACACATTTAAATGAAAGAAGAGTGAGAATAAGTCTGTCTAGAAAAGGTTCAGTTAATAAATCCTTAAAAATTAGTTAAATAAACCAGGAAGTCCAGAAGCAGACTCCATACAGGTATTACTGATGGGGAATGGACAGACTGAGAGCAGCCCTGCCAAGGAGCTGGGGGTGCTGGTAGATGAGAGGCTGGAAATGGAACATCTCTCCTCTGAGAAAAGGTTGAGGGAACTGGGGTTCAGCCTCGAGAACAGAAAGCTCTGGGGTGACCTTATGGAAGACCTTCAGTCCCATAAGGACAAGAAACCTGAAGAAGGACTTCCCACAAGGGCATGTAGTGATAAGACTTTAACCCAAAAGAGGGTAGGTTTAGATTTGATATAAAAAATTCCTTACTCTAGGGTGGTGAGGCACCTGGAACATATTGCCCAGAAAAATTGTGGATGCCCCATTCCCGTAAGTGTTCCAGGCCAGGCTGCAAAGGGCTTTTGAGAAACCTGATGTAGTGGAAGGTGTCCCTGCCCATGGTAGGGGGGTTGGAACTAGGTGATCTTTAAGGTCCCTTCCAACCATTCTATATGATTACAGTCATCCCTCTATCGTGGAGAGATATGCATATCTGGAGCATAGATTAATTTGGTGGAAAACTAATACATCATTAATTAAATAATAATATATAGTTACCTGGATTCTAAAACAGAGAGCATTAAAGTATACCACTTTGATTTAAAAGATATTTATTCGCTAAATAATGCTATCTGTGGTTGATACTTGCTACGTCTCTATTCTAAGCCGGAATTACAGGTCAAGTTTTTAATGAGACGTTTACATTTGTCTGGGTTGTTTGGCTGGTTTTTTTTTTGTGAATTTAATTTTAAATGTATTTAATCATTCAGATACCTTTCTGAATTGAGTCTGGTGTCTCATATGCTTCTGGCATTGCATTCTCTAATTCTCTGTGCATGTCATCTGTTGTAGGAGCTTCAAAAGTTTCTCCATGTATTTCTTCCTTCACTTGCCACTGGTCACTTATACTTTCATCTACATCTTCATGCCTCTCTCCTAATCAATAATGCAGATTGTTAGTGAATACATACTCTTTGGTATATTCTATTACCAGCAAATATTCAGCCTTCAGTGCACTCTTCGTGTTTTCCAACAAGTCGCCAAAGGAGATGGGGAGGGGGACAGACGATTTATCTGCATCCTAAACCCAAAATATCTGCCCTGCCTTGACAAGGCCTTCTCTACCCACAGTAAAGGCCATCTCTGTTCTATGCATTCTTTCACTCCACACAGTATACTGAGCAAGTTTTTGTCAACTGACTGATTTGAATTATTGCTGCCAAACACCTCTGGGTAAGAGGTCACAATTTTAGGATTAGGTGACTGAACTTTCTGAATTTTCTTGAAAATTACATATGAGCTTGGAATGTTTTGTGCAGGTAAAACTACTTTAAGTGCATACCAAAACTAGACTGAGATACATCTAGCCTGTGGCAGTATTTATAAACTCTTCAGTGATTTCTAAGTGTTAATGCATTACCAGGCTGGGAATGGAGAGTTTCATGAAGAACAGACTGACTTTCGTCTTCCAATTCTACATCAGCAGTCTTGTGCTCTAAAAGGATTACAAATTACAGTGAAAGTAAGTAAGTGCAAAAGGCAAAGTCTGAACATAAGCTCAAGGCTCACAGCCCTTAGGCTCTGTAAAGTTCTTATTCTGTTCCATAAAGTTCCCTAGAGACTGACTTGGTGAACCTCTGGACTCACACAATTACAAAAACAATTTTGTCTTGCTTACTCTCAAATATATAAAGTATTGCATCAATCGCATCATTTTTGTTCTGAAGATGAATTCAAAGAATTTATCTGCACTGCATTTTCTGCACATATATTTTTCTCAAGGGCAGTAACAACTTCAGATAACTATTCAAACCAAGAAGCCTCGAAGTAATTATTCTACTAACACTTTAATCCATTACCTTCCTACAATTTAGGCAGCAGCAGTAGCATGTCATATTTAACAATAAAATGCCACTTGCAAAAAATAGGGTTTTGTTGACTTCATAAACAGGGAAAATAGATACTAACGTTATGATATCAAGGTCTTATTCTGCTATGAATTGCCAGGAGAAATCACAAACTGTTTTCAGGGACAAGTGATCATCATCTAATACACCAGCCCAGAACATAACAGGAATTTGTATGAAGTGTTGCTTTCATATAAATGTCCTGAAGTTAACACTCAGAAACACTACAGCACAAAAATCAGATCACAGCTGCATTTTCAAATAAAAACCTAAAATGGTACCGGCTATGGGGAACAAAAAAAAGTAATGCAAGTCCCTTAAAACAAAAACTATATTCCATTTTACTGGCCATATTCTCTATACTTGTGCATTTATGTGCTAAGTTCATATAAATATCAAGTAGGATAAGCCACTTCAAGTAGCAGAAAAACAAGTACTCTCTGAATAATAGTAAAAGGCAAATTGTATACATGAAATGTGACATGTAAACATTTTTCTTGAATCCCACTTAAAACTGATGCATTTTACTAATATTATGGGGCTTTTAAAATGATTGTTTTGTTTTTTTAACAGTAAAAGCTCTACTTATGGTACTTATGATATACTATTGGTTTTAATGGAAAAGGGAATATTTGATTATGTTATGAAGTTGGTTCTTGGAATTTTTTTTTGTTTAAGGGGGAGAATCTGTTGTTATTTTGACTGCATATACAGTTGCAAATGTATCTAAACTACAACTGTACATCATCAGAAAGTTATTCTGATGTAATACAGATACAATGGTAACCACAAGGGCTTGACTAGAGCATCTTCTAGACAGAATTATCATTCAAATGAAGCATTATGTCTTTTGTTTCACCTATGGCTTATTACAGGCCTTACCTGATTCGACATAGGACGTCTCAGCAGCCTGGACAGTCTCCTCAGACTCAGGTGGTGTTGGCTGTGCTGGGACAGATCTTTCTTTAAGGCCTGCATTTTTCAGTTATAAAGTTAACTTTATGCTCCTTTTGATCTGATTCAGTTATAAACTAAGAAAGATGTTTCAATTAAATTAACTGATGTTACACTCTCCAAAACTGCATTCAAACAATCATAATTGCAGGGTTGTCCTGATATACAGCGATATATACAAAAACTAAAGTGTATTCAGACAGTAAACAAATATGTTTGGAAGACAAAAATACAATGAGGGAGGGAAAAAGAGACAGAAATTTAAGCACTTTCCTTTATTTCAAAGTAACTAAACAAATGACTACGGTATTCTCAACATCTATTCAGCATCCAGTAGAAAAATAGGCAGCAGATTTTTTTCACTGTTTTCAATTTGGACAAAAAGTGTTTCATATGATCAATTTTATAGCTTCTATGAACAACTAATTTGAACTTTACAAAATGAAAAGAAAGCAACCAATAACTGCAATGATCAACACCTTGGTAAGAGATAAAGGTAACTCTTAGATGTGAAAGATTATGCCACATCTTAAGACAACATAAGCTCAAGAATCTACTGGTATTAGGCTAATTCTCCTCTCCAATCTCCTTTAGCAAGGTTCAAGGAAGACTTATACAAGAGGTTCAGACAGGCCATAAGAAAAAAGATACACACACACACACATCCACCCTGCACCTCCCCCAGACACAAAGGAAGTGAAATCAGTGGAAAAGGCTGCACAGAGAGGCTTGGAAGTTTTAAAGACTACACTGGATAATGGCCAGAGTAACCTGGTCATTTCTCTGAAGTGACCCTGTTTTGAACAGGATGTTGGAATAAGGATCTCCTGAAGCCCCTTCCAAATTGCATTCTTCTATAATCCTATATCCATGGTCAATGATGATAAGACTATCTTAAAGAAACACACATACACACACACTGGCCAAAGTCAACTAGTTTTTCAAGAGCTGTATACACAGAAAACAACAGAAAAATAATATTTAGTCAAGCAGAGGCAACACTATAATGAACACTCCTGTACTGTTAACCATCTTGTAAAAATAACTTCTAAGTGGAATAACAGAAATAACAATGATCATTACCATGTTTCTAATGGAGTCAAATATATCTCAATACAAATAGGACTAGTATGTCTCAACCCAAATTTGTGTAAAACAGAGAGATATTATTTTATGCACCATGAGAAAAACACATATTTCTTTCAAGTAGTGGAAATAGAATACCAGAATCAATTCTAACTTAATCCATTATTAAAATTTAAACAACCTGAAGATAAGTTAAGTTGTATCCAAAAGTACTGTAACATAGATTAACTCCACTATCATGAAGTCAAAATCAGAAGCTAGGAAAAAAGCGCAAAATTTGCATTTAATTTTTTGCCAGTTTTCTTCTGTGTTATTAAAAAAACCCCATAAAATATTAAAAAATAATATTATGACATTCATCTTTTGCTGCAGGAATATTAATTGCTACAAGCGTAAGAATTTACTTCTTTCTACAATCACCTTTAGATGAAGACAAAACCAGTTACTTAATACTTGCCACCATCTCACACTTCAGAATCTGGAAACACAGAAACAGCCACACAGACCTTACCCATAAACCCCTCTATATAAGTCTTCATATCCTCCAATAACCCACATCTACAGTAGCAGACAACAACCTGCTCTGCTTCGTAAACAATATATGGAACCACAGTATTTCAAAAGATAGTCAGTACTTCACAGCTGAAAAGCACTATGTGTATTTAGCAGGAAAGAAGGGACTAGCAAGAATACTTCTTGGTTTCGCTTGTATATTTCTCAACTTGACTTTCAAGCTTTTTATACATATCTATCATGTTTATCATGGATTCCTATTCATTCCTGTTGAGTAAAAAATACATTAAGCCATTTACTTTTTGCAAGATACTATTTTCTCTCTTATTTTTATTAAAATTAAGTTGTACTCAGTTTTCGCTTGTGTGGTCCATTTTTTGAGCTTATGTGATAAATTGCCGTGTTAATTTTAATTACAATAATGTGTTATAGAGATATACAACAACACAACAGATCTCTGGGGCAAAAATATCATTTTATTGTGTAGCTATCTCTATAGCCTGGAGTGCTGCTGAAATAAAATGTTCCTTGAAAAGAAAAAAAAAAAACAACCGAACTTTTTTAGAACCAGATAAACTTTGGGTAATAGATACAATAATATATTAATCAGAAAAGCAACTCATTCTAAATTTCACTCCCACAGAGTTATAAGTTCTATTACATTAGGGGAGAAAATAAAGTGATGTGCACTATACCACTGTGCCACCATCCTTGAGAATGCTCCTCTGGTGAAATACACATCTTAACACTTATCAGAGCAAAGCTGAATAAATACATCTATCATCACCAAAACCTAAAAGAGAATGCTCATTATACAATGCATTTATTATAACTTCATTCTGTCATATTTTTTGCTAAACACTATAATGTTCACAACACACATCTTCCCTCCCTCTTCATGCATTTATAAACATTTAGAAAATACCTTGGTATATCACCTCTGTTAATTATCACAGCTAGAACTTTAAGCTCCTATACTATTTTCTATAACTTTAACTCAAACTAATTTTCATAACTATTTGAACAATGTTTCATTTCCTCTAAAAAAATAAAATCAGATAATCTTATACCTCTAGGGATCAAGGCATGTTACAGACACATGTATCGAATGGATAAGTGTATTGCCAACTGTCACACACAAAATTTTAGCAAAACCACAAACAGAATTAACCTTCAGGACTTCCTCAATCTGACATTACCATCCATATGCATCTACTCATTCTCAATTTCTCTCCTTAGTTTTGTTTTCTTTAAGCTAATACTGCAGTATAACATGAACAAATCTTGAAATTTCATTACAAATTTTGTTCTGATTCCTGTGTAATTATATAGTGCAATTGCTTGCAATATACTTGCTTTCGAGTTTATTTAGAAAATATTAATTTCCAAATAAAGTTGAAAGCAAGTATAGATTCAATAACATACTGAAATAATTTCTAATATCTCTGCAGAATGTTTTGCAACTTTATTTATTCTAATGAGACTGCTGGATAAATCCTTCCTTGATGTTAACAATACAGAAGCTGTAAGAGCAAACTAACACAGGATCTTGCTTACAGGAGTATCATGCACTTGAAAAGTGTTGAGTAAAATAATAGTTGCAAATATATATAAGCTGTTCTCTAAACAAGTTCAACCAGGACAGAGTAGTAGTAGCATATCACTTCTTAAGCGTAAATGGAATCCAACAATACTTATAAATGATGAAGTAGGTGGCCTAATTTTTAGTATTCATTATCTAAGCACTTGGAAAACTCAGAAAAATCAGGACACAGTTAACTGAAAAGTGACAATGAATCAAGTTTTTCAGCCTAAATAGAGCTAAGTAAATAATTAAATAAATAAATAGAGGATTGAAGAAAAGTAGAACACATTTTCACAGGATCAGTAGATAAAAATGCTGCAACATATTGCTTGAGTATATGGTGGAGTCTCATAAACAAGTCCAACACTGAAGTGGATTTGATGGTGTATAAAATAGTTTTCTCAGGGAAAAAACAGTTTACTTAGGGAAAAAAAGTTTAGCAGGGAATAATTTACATTTATTTGATAAGTTCCTATGACACTACAGTCCATTAATGCTCCTCCTCATTGTTTCTGTGAAATAGAAATATTTAATCTGTGAGTTCCTCTATATGTGTCCAGATAATATTTTTCATATTGCTTTTAAACTTGCATTTCAAACACAATATTAAACTTTCATCTCCATATCAAGAAAATAGTACCTAAATACAAGGAAACAAGGAAGACTAAAAAAAAAAAAACCCAAATATCAAAACAACCATCAAGCCCCAAACCCATATTTAGAGTAGGTTTGAAGTAACTGGTGTGAATTTGACATTTGAATATTTTCAATACACATTGGTAGCCAGGCACATTAACATATGTACATAATTGAGTCTCACAGCAGATGTTTCTGCTTTGTGTTTACCATACCAGTACATACTGAATAGTTCTCAAAAAATTATTATATAGCCTTTTTTCGCATTTATTTCCAGAAAACATTATTTTCTTACTGCCATTTTTACCACATTCATATAAGCATGCCGAATTTCTCATTCCTGAAGTCTGTTCCTCATTAGCAGAATGACAATTGTTTATTTCTTTTCTTTCTTGTCTTCCTTGGATTGGTTTTTGACTATCTTTTTTCTTTCTTTGTCTTTTCCCACCTGAATAGTACCATCCTTTTCACTGGTTGATTTTTTTGTAGTCTCCTTTGATTTTACATTTTTGTCTAAGCCTTTTTCCTTTCCTCTGTCCCTTTTTGCCTTGTCAGAATCTTTCTTTAATTTATTCATATCAACAGCTTTCTTGTCCTTTCGATCAGTAGCATCTTTCCTGGCTTTCTTTTTTTCTTCTTCATCTTTGATTTCCTGCTTCTTGGATTCCTGCTTCTCCCTTAATTTCTTGAGTGGTTCTTTAATAGCTTCTTTTACTTTTTAGTTTTTCATTTAAAAAAGAGGAAATGTTCAATAAGAGAACCATTCTTAGGTCACAAAACATCTTATGAACAACTATCTTAAAGCTTTGATCAAATTCATATTTAATGTTTGTTAGATGCCAATTTAAACTTGTAAAATTAACTTCTAGGCTTTAAGCAATTTAAACAAATTAGTTTTGACTTTTAGCAATATCTCACACCATGCAGCCAGCAAGCAACCTTAGCTTATATTCCAGCTGCGTCTGAATGAAGCATTAATTTAGTGAAAACCATGCCTCTATTATCTTACTGCTAACTAACTTCTGCAGAATGATAAAACCACTTTTGTCTGTGAGCATGAAAATCACAGTACAATTTGAATCGTTGACAACAGTATGACAGTTGCAAGAGTTATAAAGTGTTATTATACAAATATATAATGCAACATTTTACTGATACTGCTACCTCATATTAAGCAAAGACTTAAAAAATATATCTG